TAGAGAGTGGAGGTACCCGGGTAGACGAAACTAACAATGTCAACAATTTGGTGGCGCCCTTGAGAAATGGTGCAGGAGAACAATTTAAAATTTAGCTGACGATGTTACTATATGGGTCGTAAATAGCTAAACCTTTCAGTATTTTTAAATTATTAGCCAAACCTTTCAAACTACAAATGATTAGCCAGATATTTTGTATCACATCAAAATATTAACCAACTGTTTGTTATCATTAATAATTTTGTAATTCTTTTTTAATTAAAATACTAAATTGGATTATAGACCGTCACGTGTCTCTTCTAACTCATCATCATGTTGTTGAGTCAACATTACTAACAAAAATGCTATCGTGGAGTTAACGTTTGACTAATACTTTTATTTTTGAAAGATTTGGTTAATAAAATGTATTTACTCTGTTATATGATATACTAAATTTGGGTCTGTTGATAGACATATGTTAACATAAGATCGTTAGGAGACTTCATGAACATTCACATGAAAATGAGGCAAGATTAGAGAAGTTAGATCATCGTAAGAGGTATGGTCTTTCTTAGCAATCACATGCATTTTTTTTTTGTAAAACACATGCATAACTAATAATATATTTACGGAATACAATAATTTGATAAAAATTCAATGGAGCAAGAATAGATCACCTCATTGGATAAATGAAGATGATAAGTAAGAATAACTTTTCTCTCACGTATAATGTGTCCTTCCATCCCTTATTTTCTTTTACAATTGTTCATATTTCCCCTTATTTTCTTAACATGTTACAAATACCGGTAAAAAACAAGGATTAATTACACTTAAAAATAATTAAAATCTTTTTAATATATATGCTTATATATTGACAATAAATGTGGCAAAACATAAAAATGCATATATTAGCATAAGTAATGAAATTTTTATTTCTAAACAAATACCAAACATAAATAAATTTTAGAAAACGGAGGTTCGACAAGTTGTAACATTATACACTAACGCACCATATTAAGATCAAAATCCGTATGTCAGTATCTTGGATTGAGATTCTAAAACAATATATAAACAACGACAATGAGTCTCAGTTAGTCCAAATTAAATTTCAGAAATTAGCAATTGATACATATTGTATAAGAGACTAAATACAAATAAGATCTTACAGTAAACTTCATGAACATCCAAAGTGTCAACTTTTAATTGGGATGAAGAAATTTATCCAATAATGAAGTATATGTACAAAGAAACTCTAACTAAGATGTCCTCATCTGAACAACATGGATTCATATAAGATAGAAAAAATTGTATATGAGACATAGTATACCTTTGTGACATGGTTTATGAGTAGAGAATTCAAACATTATAAGTGAATGTGCTAAGTATTGAGAATTTTCAATATATAGACACACCACAGACTCACTTATCAATACAAAATATAATAAATTTAGAAGGTCTAAAATAGTTTAAACATATAGATAAATTGAATTAATGTCAACGATAAAATAAAACTCTCCGGCCAACGGGCCGGGTAAAAAGCTAGTCATAATATATACAAGTAACATGCAAACTACATAGGGGAAAATACAGACAAAGATGAAGAAAAAAAGTAAATTTGATTTTGTAAATTTTGAATAAAGGGTGAACTATATTGTTTTTTCAATGTAGACAATCTCATGCAAAAATGTAAAATCAAATAATGTAATATAAAGAAAATTTTCCCCCTATGAAACATACTATTCGGCATTTGCCTAAAATTGTCACTAAGAGGAGATCAACTACAAATCAAATGTGGCCCTCAATATGCAATTGCAAAAGAGATTGCACCAATATATTGGACATTGGAAAGATGCAAGGTTGCATTGGATGAAATTCAAGATGTAAGCCACATGAAAAAATAAAAATAATATTGTTTATTTATATCTTCATTTATTTAATTATAAAATCATTTAGATCCGCCACATATAGTGTTGCAAGTGAATTGCACTGATGTAGGTATTATGAAATTAATATGAGTTATATTGTATAAATTATGAGGTGGTAATAAAGACAACGTACGGTCAAATGATTTTGCAGTTGAATTGATGGTAGATGATATGGATAAAATCAATAAAATCCAAACTAGAAGTCAATTATCAATATATCTGCCAATCATCACTGGGCTAATGGGTGATTCATGTAAAAAATGAAAATTTATTGATTGCAATGTGACATCCAACCAGTTTCATAATTAATATATTGTTTGTTTTCTAGGTTACCAAGCACGATTTTGTTTTTTGGCACATCATTGCGTGACTTTTGGAAAAGTCATGCATCTTTTCACATCTTGACCTATAACACCTTTAACTTAAAAGTTCTTAGAACTCTTCCATTTCACTCTAAAAATTGTATATTGTCTAGGAATGGCAAAAATAGGATACCTCGGCAGAATTCGACCTAATTGACTGGGTAAAATCCGAACCGATTTTTTTTAATGTGTGTAGATAAAATCTTATCCCGAATATTGCAGGTGGCTGTTGTCATGGTTTTCTCACTATCCAACTCGAATTCATCCGATTATACACATACATATGTATCTTGTTTAAATATGATCATTATTTTTCTCAGCATCTTTAATATTTATCATCCATATATAATACTTTCCATGTTTAACTAATTTTCTTAATTTTAGTAATTTATTGTTTTAATTTTTCATGTAAAGTGTGAAATTGTTAATATGTTGGTTTAAGTTATAACGATAAATTATTATTCATAGTTAAACATGGATACCAGAAACCAATCGGGTATGGGTATGATTTTGATAGTCTGCCTGATTCTTGTATGGATATAGATACGAGTAAAATCCAAACTATTTTGGTAGGGTAATGAATATGCATTATCCGGCACTAACTTGACCCGTTGTTATCCCTAATATTGCCAGTTAGCTTTGGATGTTTATTATGAACCATAAATTTCGCATGTGCTTTGTCGACATGGAATTTACATAAGATGTTACATTACATCCCCTTTGAGACTCAACATACTCGTTGAAGTTTGCACGGCCATCGTTCAAGAGGGTTGCAAATATGTCAATATCACTTGCAACATTCCAACCATTTTTCTGATAAAAATACTGTCTGTTTTAAGCCCACTCTCGCACAATTTTACTTTTAGAGTGCATCAAATAACTTCTCGAGAGATACTCCTAAATATAAACCTATCTTACCAATCAAAATTAAATTAGTTATAAATAATTTCTCTCTCACTAAGTCAATTTGACAATGGCTTGTCATCTAAAAAAACTCAGGCAATGTCTATTTTTTACTCAAACCTTTTTAAAATTCTTTTATTTTACCCAAACCTATCAAAATTCTATTTATTATCCAAACTTATTGTAAATTATCAAAGTCTGGTCATTCGTTCTGTTACCGTTACTTATTTCGTAACGGAACTCCACGTCAGCATCCACGTCAGTTGACACGTCTGTAATTAATATTTTTAATATTATAAATTAAAAACAAATATATTTATTTATCTGATTAATTGGGTAATTCTTACCCTCTCTTCGTTTTAAAACCCAGAAAGGGCTCGAAAGCCTCGCAGCCTCCGTTGTCGGCCTTCAAAGCCTTGCAACCGCCATTCGACGTCTCGCCGTTTGAAGACTCGTCGTCGCCGTTCGGAGACTCGCCGCCGCCGGTCGAGTCTTGCGCTGCCGTTCTCGGTTTCTTCCCTACAACATCATCTCACGCAAGGTAAGATGTAGTTACCCTTCGACATTGGGGTTTGAGCAGTAGTGTCGAATCTCAATAGGATTGTTGATTGAGATGTTTCTCCTGTTCTGTGTAATAGAAGCAAGAATCATGTCTGCAGATAGGGATGGCAATGGGTCGGGTTGGGGCGGGTTTTGTCAAACCCAAACCCAAACCCCATGGGTTTATTCGCAAAAAAAAAACACGGGTAAAACCCGTTGGGTTTGAAAAACTCAAACCCAATCCAACCCGCTGGGTATCCGCGGGTTTTTGTGGTAAAAATTTTACAATAACAAGTTTCTTTCAAAATAAAAGTTTAACATCAATTTTCTCATACAAATTAATCATACAAAAACACCAATCTAGAGCATACAAGCAAACCGCAAATGATCAATACATATTGTTCAAAATTAAAGATAAACATCTATAAACAATAAGATTAATTGAAAGCTTTTTCCTCGCCAACTAAGTTTCTTCACTCTCCACTTCATAATATCAACTTCATTCTAAACAATTAGAAAGAACAAATTATACATGTCTCCACAAACATAAAGAATATTAGTTGTTTAAAGAAGATATATTATTTAGAATATTAAATATACCGGGAAAGTAATTATATGTGTGGGCGGGTACCCATGGGGCGGATTTACCTAAACCCAAACCTAACCCGACCCGGTGAATAGTGTAGCGGGTTTAAACCCGAACCCGGCCCAAAACCCGTCAACACGGATTTTACCCGCATTGATCGGGTTGGATCGGGTGGGTACCCGTGGGTTCGGGTTTTGTTGCCATCCCTATTTGCAGATACATTAATCTTGTCTCCAAATAATATAATTTTGATAGGTTTGGGTAAAATAAAAGAATTTTGAAAAAATTTAGATAAAAAATAGACATTGACCAAAAAACTCCAACCTATCATTCTTCCTTTTACCATTTTCCCCTTTACCCCCACCCAAAGACTTTCAAAGTTTAAGGAAAAAAGCCATAAATCTTGTCTCTAAATTCAAACACAATCAAATTCCTCTTCAACACCCATTGAAAATTCAATCTTTTTCCACCCAAAAATAAAAGTTTCCCCCAAAATCCCCGCTAGACCAGGTCCAATCTACTCATTCCCATCAATCCATATTTCCGATTTCTCCCTTTTCTTCCAACTCCAAGCTCTCTCCTCTCTTTTTCATTCCAATTCCTCCGGCCTCTTGTTTACCTTCGTCACCCTACTTCTCTTACAATCATCCGGTTTCCGCCCTACGCCGGCTAAGCCGTTTTGCCCCCCTCTCTTGCCTGAAAGATATGACGTCGGTGAAGAAAGGTTTGCCGCCGGGCCTCGTGTCCAATCTCCAGGAAGTTCTGAGCAGCAGAAAGGGTGGTGGCGCTGGCGATGAGCAATCGAAAGATGGACCTTCTACTTCTTCTACTCCAGCTGAAAACACTGCGGCAGGGAATGGAGATGATGATTCCAGACCTATTGTTTTGGTCACCAATGGCGATGGAATTGATTCCCCTGGTCTTCTCCTTCTCGTCGAAGCTTTGGTTCGTGAAGGAAGCTACAATGTCCATGTCTGCGCCCCGCAATTGTGGGTTTTATTTCCCCTTTCATTTCCTATGTTCTTTTCATGTCTGGTTTCCTTGCATTCCTTATCTGGGTTGGATCTGTTGGATGTAAAGATATGGTTTTTGAGTTAGTTTTGCCACATGGCGTATAATGTTTGCTCTTTTAAAATGGTTCCGGTCAACTTTAGCATGTTTAACTTATGTTTTTAATTTTCATTCCTGTATCAACTTGAGATTATTCGTGATTTGTTTAGTTAGTGAATGTTGTTGGTTTCCAGGGACAAATCAGCTTCTGGTCATTCTATTACACAAGGGGAAACCATAGCTGCAACGTCGTGTCAAATTAGTGGTGCTACTGCATTTGAAATTTCAGGTACTACTTGTTCGGTTTGGTGCTTCCCCCAAGATGTAAGCTTGGTTACATTTCCTGTTTTACGGTTGTATGTGAGCCATGTATGATGGAAACTCTACTATATGCCTATGCATATGTATGAGATGTTTTCTTTCATGGAGCTTGTGGAATTATAGGGAAAGAAGCTTCTCAGTTTGGCAATTGAATGTTAGTCTCCATGTCATTTGGTTTTACAGAACCATTTCTGCTTGATTGAATGTTTCTCTGTGCTTATATTTGGTACCTGTTGTTAATATCTCATTGTTGTAAAGATTTACGGTGGTCTTTGTCGCTCAGGGACTCCTGTGGATTGTGTCTCATTAGCATTGTCTGGAGCACTCTTTTCTTGGTCAAAGCCTGTGCTGGTTGGCCTTTATTTGCTCTTATCTTCAGATTACATATCTTAGGTAGTACACAGCTCTCGTGCATTTAAATTTTTTAGTCATTTTGATTTTCAGGTCATTAGCGGAATCAACAAGGGATCAAGCTGTGGTCACCACATGTAAGTACTTGAACCGTTTACTTGGTTCATCATTTGCAAGACACTCTTCCTTTTAGAATATTGCAATACGATGTCTTTGAAATGCATGATTTTTGCTTTGTGTTTCCCGCCATTAGATTTAACTTAATCAAAGGCTGATACTGCTTCTATTGTGCTGAAATTGACCAGGTTTTACTCAGGTGTTGTTGCTGGAGCTAGGGAAGCATTAATAAGTGGTGTCCCATCTCTATCAATCTCGCTTAACTGGTGAGTGTTAAACTGCTAAGAAAAGTGTTGTTTTGTGTTGTTTCTTCTGCTCTGATTGCTTAAGTAATTCATTTGGGTTCAAATTACCATAGGAAGAAGGATGCAAGCCAAGAAAGTGATTTCAAGGATGCTGTTGCTGTATGCTTACCCTTGATAAATGCTGCTATGAGAGATATCGAGAAGGGGGCTTTCCCCAAGAGTTGTTCCCTGAACATACAAATCCCTACTTCACCATCTACGAACAAAGTAAGCCTTCATTGCAATTGCTAAGGATACTTGTGAAGTTTCCGTTGTGATGCAAGACTGACTTCACCATAACTTTAGGCCAACATTTTGAGATCGTCGCATCTGCCTTGCAAGTTGATATGTTTATTGGCATGATTTCAAATGCAATTTAGTTCTTCGTCATAAAAAAAGACATGATTCAGAAGCATATTGTTATTTTTCTAGAGAGCAGCTTGAAATGGAATTTGAACCCTTAAAAATGGTTATTTGTTGAAGATTTGTGCAGCTAATTTGCTGTTTTTCAAAGGTTTTCTTCACATTGTTTCTGTGGCAGTCATTTCCCTCTATTCTCTTGTAGAGTCTGTTTCGCTGAGTTAGAATCACACTCCAAGTGCACTACAACAGAGTTTCTTTTGGTAAATCTCATTTTAGCTGTGCATTTGTTCTTGCTTGACAACATCCCTGCTTATTTACCTGGTAGGGTTTCAAACTTACTAAGCAAAGTATGTGGCGATCTACCCTTAACTGGAATGCCATTTCTGCAAACCGGCATCCTGGTGTTGGATACATGTCTAATCAACAAAGCCTTGGCCTACAGCTTGCCCAGCTTAGTCGAGATGCCTCTGCTGCCGTGAGTATTTTTCTTGATTTTTTGCTATTTGTTTCCTTTTGCAGTCTCTTCCTGAACCATCAAACCTTGTGCATTCCGTTTGATTCATGCAAATTCGGTCTGCTTTTTCTTCAGGGAGCAGCACGTCGTGTTACCAAACAAAATACGAATTTGGAGATTGAGTCAGTTGGGGCCTCTGGGAAATCTGAAGTGAACAAATTGAAAAAGTACTTCAGACTGGAGGTAAATGACTCATTTCCAATGTCACAGACTCACGGTTACAGTTTTGGGCGGCTTTAGTGGTTAGACACATGAATGTCTTTCCATATCTTTGGCTTCAACATCTGATTAAAAGAACCCCCTGCTTTTCTGCTGTCAGTTTATGGAGAAGGAGCAAGAAGACATAGACGAGGACCTGGACTTCAGGGCCCTTGAAAGCGGATTCGTAAGTTACTTTTCTCTTTCGTTCACTTTTTTATTTTCATAATTGCTAGTCCTAGTACTAGTTCACGGCTCATTCGACAATCTCTGGACTGTGTATTGGTTGTTGTGTGACTTTTGCTGGCATGTGAATTTATCTTTATTACAAGACTGTTATAGATTGGACCATCTCTTACTAAAGTTTGTGTTCATGATTATGATGAGTCACTCTCACTTACCCTATTTATGCTCCCAACCTTAACATGGTGGACCACCTCTCATATGACGCTTAAACATCGAGAACTATCTGGGGAACTGCATTAGACAACAAGACATTCAATCTGAACATGGAACTAGGGTTTCCCAATCTTCATAACTAAACTGCTTCGTTTATCTTTCACTTACCAGGTTGCAGTAACTCCGTTCTCACTCTCACCACACATTGAACCGGAAACGCAAACAGCAGCCTCGGAATGGATCTCTTCTGCACTTCAAGAGAGCCAGTAAGAAGGAAAAGGGGGCTTCTACTACAGATACCAGTCAATCTTTATCATCACCACATGATTTTTTGTACACACATTTACAGGTTATATATAAATTGATTTGGTGCCATTTTCTCAATTCTGTCCCACTCTTGTTTTTGCTTCTTTTCAATCTCTTCCTTATTTCCCTCCATTGAAATTGTTCTGATGCAATTTGGGGGTCTGGGTTGTTCTTGTGTAGCCTTTTTTTTCTCTTCTTCCTATTGGGATACTAATGTAATTTAAAACCGTGGCAGCGGGGGGTCTTAATTGAATGCCCACTCCTGCATCACCACTTTCATCTGTTTTTGTTTTTATTTTTGGCTTCTTGTTATGTATTTGATCAAAATCTGAACTCAGATTCTGGCATTTAGAATCCATGTATTCAAGTCTTCAAGGTGGTGATTTCCATGGCTACTGCTTGCTTCTTCATGATTACATAAAGGCTGGAGCTAAATCCTTTTCAAGTAAAAGGGTTTGCTTTTACCAACTTATGATAGTTTACCTCAGCAGGGCATCGGTTCCCCCACTCCCCAAATAATTTCCTTGCTCGTTCATAAAGGGAAGAAATGATAGAGCCTTTTCTTTAATGTTATGGTCCACAACAATTATGTTGTTGGTACCTTTTTGTTGAATTGAAATCGAAGGCAACTAGCAAACTCAGCTCAAAATTAGCAAGCTCAGCTCAAAATTGAACATAGCCCTTTTTATCTTCTCATACATACATTGGTGGCTTCTATCGTACCATGGGTAAAATCTAGGGTACGACATATCCTGAGTGAGAAAACACTATCTAGATCTTGAAAACTGAATTTTTTGGTATAATACTATAATCTAACCCTTGATGGGTGAACCATAGGTATTATTTATCTATATCATTGAGCCTATTCCATAATATTGTGTATGTAATTTGTCACAGATATTTCGACGAACCGTCGATTTTTCTTTCTAATTAAATTGATCTTAGTATGAGCTTTATAAAACTAAGACATAGATTTTAATGTTTAAGGTTTCAGGAATAGTACCATATGCCAAATTCTGGTCAATTCAAGGTCTAGATATCATTTTCTTACTCAAAGTATGTCATACCTTTAATTTTACCCAAGGTAAGATAGAAACACCCATATATATAAATATATAAAATTGACCGCTTATTTTATCGCTTATGAACCCCCCCTCCTTGATGCCTACCCTCTTGATACTCCCTTCTCTATGCGTTGACCCTTCCTCGGACCAAGACGTTTGGACTATGAGGCCACTTAGCAAACGAGTCTCGCGATACAGAACTATAGACGGAACCAAAGGGCGAAAGAACGAAGTTGCTAGATTGAAAGTAGAGGGAGAGAGAGGGAAAATGTGAGCCTGAAAAGCGGGTGAAGGGCGACTCTCATTTCAGTAAAGTAGGTAACCTTCTCTCGATTCAAGTAGAAGGCAACTGCATTAACAACCTTGATTCCTATGTCGTTTTCAAAGTACTAAAGAAAGAGGCTATTAGCCTCATCTGGGGTTTGAGAAAGAACTGATTGATGAATCTTAATCAGTAGTTAGAATCTACATATGTGAATGTCTTCAAGTGTTGCTGCAGCTTTTTACTTTTTTTTTACCACCAAAGACTAAAAAGATGATATTAAGACTTTGGAAAAGGGAACGGGATTCCCCAAGAAATAAGGAACGGATTTACCACTCGACTGCTTAGAAGAGGAATGATTCACCAGTCAGGGATGACGTATAACCCGCTACTAGAGCGAGAGGTAATAGATTTCACAAGATGTGCAGTACTTTCTTTGTTGAGAGAAACGAATCCGGAGTGGCCGGGATGTTTCAAGAATTTATGTAACCTTCCTGGTCTTGGTTAAGGGTTGTCTCTGCAGGAAACGACCAAGCGAGCTAACACGGGGTTTAGAGCTCCTCTTTTCAAGGAGACTCATCCACACCTACACACACTTACCGTCACATGTGACTTCCGGGTCACCTAACTACACCTCACTTGATTCGTCCAAGAAGTCATCTAACCTAAGGTAATAAGGAAGATCTAAGGAGCCATTTGCTTCTACGGTTTTGATGATATATTCGCTTTCAAGATTCGACACATTGGATTTGTCTCATAATCCATATTTGTTGATGAAAATGGACTTGGTTTAACTTCATGGGTGGTTGCCTAGTGCCTACTCTATCTCCAGAGCAAACAACTCAAAATAGACCAAATGAATTCCCCTTATTTTCGTTGGTCGGCTGGTTTGGTTTCCTTGTTTCGGTTTTGTGACGATGGAATCAGGGAAGAACGGTTTGGTTCTCCAAATTCTTCCTCTAAATGCTATTCCTAAGTCTATCTAGTTCTCTGCTTTAAACCCTAGATCTACCTTTAATATTCGTGTTTTTTAGATCTTTGGTGCTCAACCATTCAAACTGTTGAGAGATCACGCCCCCACCTGCATATGATGGTTGAGTGTGCTTCTGCTTGTACAAAGGCAACATGGCACCTATGTCGCTTTGTCGTGTTTGAGTTGAATGAGTCATTATAATGTATGACTCATTTGGATTTGAAATATGATCAATATTTCTAAGTCGACGGAGAATGCAAGAACTGCACCAAGTAGTAGGAGACGACAATATGACAAGTGTCAAATAAGGAAACCCATTTGCAAATGACTAAGTCATTTTATATGAAATGGTCTTGAAAATATAGCATATGAATCACTCCAAGTGAGTCTGATAAGCTACAGACTTACATAAATTGGGATAATTTGCACCGGATACCATTGAACTTCAAGTTTTATTGCAAACACATCGTTATTGAATATACTATGTTTAGTGTGTCGGGTACCACTAAAGTTGCTGAAAAGTGCATCCGTCAAGTTTTCTATCCTCAAGACTTACAATAATATACTAATCAATAGATATTATTCAAGAATTACATATAAAACTAAGAAAACATAAAAAAGAGAATTAGGTAAACAAACATTAAAATTTCAGAAAGAAATTTAAGGAAAAGTAGAGAAAGTAAATAAAACATTAAAGACATAGAATTACTAGAATAACCACAAAAAATCTTTCATTAAAAATTGAAATGTTGAGAAAATTAATGAACGAACATTAAGAAAATATAACATAGAGTTTAGATCAAACAATAAATATTTAAAAGAAATCTTAGAATATCAATGTTTTTTTTTAACACGGACATATAGAATAAAAACAATGTTTTTTTAAAAGGAATCTTAGAATATCAATGTGGATATAAAAGAATCACACATAATGAGAATAATCTAAGGATATAAGTAATAATATTATAATAAATATAAAAAACCAGAAGAAGACAATCACGGGTATGGAAGGAACTGTGAAAATCCTATGCAAGAAGTAATTTCACCAAAAGAAAATCTTAAAGAAATAATAATAAAACTTCAAGAAATAACAATGAAGTTAGATAATAAAAAAATCTTATAATTAAAGATATGAAAGAATATATAAAGAATCACAAATCAACTTGAGATAACTCAAATGAGAATCTTTCTAAAAATCTAAAAGTCTTAGATAAATATTGTTATAGAAGATGGGTTAGCTATTGAGGAGTGTTGATTTCGGTAGATTGATTTGACAATTCACTCAATTTCAACTCTGAAGGATCTTGCGAATGTGCCATTGATATATGGCATCATACCCTTAATTTTGTGTTTTTGTTGTTCAATGAGTAGGGCTTATCCCCTAATCTTTATCTGCCTTGACGAGTTGTTGAGAGCGGTGAACTTTACTACCTTCTGAACATAATTTTGAGCAGGCCCTTACTTCCTCTCTCGCTTATCAATAGCGGTGAATCTCAACATTGTCCGACGAAGATACGACGGTATTGATGGTTGTGTTCTCGGTTTTTGCGAACACACAAGGTGGTAAAAGAATAGTTGTGGCTGATGACTAAACCATGGATGGGGAAGATGCCAATAGCTGGAGGGGTCAGTGATGAAGAACTTGCATCTACCATCTACAAACAAGATTATCAATGTAATGATGACAACAACCATCTATTAAAAAAAACTCGGCATCAACTTCAAACTGAAAGGAACTCTGAACAGGTTCAAAGGAGAGTTGTGAAAGTGTAAAGGAAATCTCTGTGGGTAGAGAGGAACCAAAACAAAGCACCTGTCTATCAAATTGAAACCTTGTTTTGAAGACCAAACAAAGAATATCAAGAATTGTCACACTTAATTATTGCAAGTGTGGAATTACCGAAGATGGGTTAGGTCGCTGCCGTTTTCTGGGTGGCAAAGAATAAGTTTACAGATTCTTTCAGTAGCAAAATTCGACAAGTTTCTCCATTTCCAATCTGGACATTCTTGCGAATGTGGCAAGGCGATCATGCACCAGCCCCCTAATAGTTTTCAGCTAAACAAACTAGCCCAAGATACAACTTTGAAATTTTTAAAATTATTTATAGGATTAGTGTTAACAAATTTGAATGGATAGTGATTAGTGATGAAACAAATTATTCAAGTACCACCCACAAGATTTAAGGCAAATCCATTTTGATCAACAAACATGGATTATACAAAAAAATTAGTGGTGAAACAAATTATTCAATTACCACCCACAAGATTTAAGGCAAATCCATTTTGATCAACAATCATGGATTATACAACAAACTTTAACATGTGCGTGATTTTGAGAGCAAATCACACTTCTATCATTCCCTTTTATGATTTGTTTCTCTTGGTAATTTGTCTCATTTCGAATTATTTTTTCTTCCCTCAAATTTTATTGGTGACAAAGAGGGTCATCTATCACGACGTTAGCAACTTGAGCACACCAATATTCACTCGTTTTAAGTCGTAATTTAATTTTTTTTTGTATAGTTAGATCAGATTAATTATACTCTTCAAAATGATATCCACTTTGATATATTTTTGAACAAAAAATTGAGTCATTTTTAGGCATGTCATTTACGACTTTCAACATTGTGTACCACAAGATACCACCCCACACTAGGGTGGTATT